TGATTTATGCGTTACCTACTCCTTCACGAAACCTCCTTTACAAAATCATGTGAAAATGGACGTCTTTTATGGTAATATTAACATTTTGAACGTGGTTGCGTAGTCCGTGTCACCATCTGCGTTCGTCAGAACAACTTTATCAACGATCCAACCAATTTAAGTTTGATTCATGCGTGACACAACGAATGTGATCTGTCGGTCTAATTCACGTGTGACAGGAGCAAAATGCTGACTAACCTTCACTAAAAAGGTGGTCAACAAGATCCCAATATGTCAAAGTATATCAGGGTCATAAGGGTGGAGGACAAATCGTCGTATCTCAAATGAGCGACAGCTCATCAGCAATCAGGTCGTTGAGATGATACCAACAAAGACAAAAGAAGCAAAAGGGCTCAATAGAGATAGTCAAAGGAGGGGAAGAGTAATCTCTAATAGTTAGAGGTAACCAGGTCATAGTACTCCATACCCGTCATTCTAAGCCACTAAGACCCCAAGTTTATCTGGTCGTGAAGGCAGTCAACCCAACATGTACTGAGATCCACGATCAACAATTCGTAAATTGTGTCGTCCACGGGGGATCCAGGTAGCCCTAAGATCAAACGAAGTAAGCTCTATTCTATGACTATCAACTAGAGCTCTAATAGGTGAGCCTTACACCTACCAAAGTGGCGATGACGCCTCTGGAAAGAGAGAGAAATTGAGGTTTAGCTACAAAGCTCGAAACACTTCGACAAAAAATCTTACACCTTGTATAAGTCGGGGAGCCTTCTAACAACCTGGGCACACTATACAACCTCCTATATTAAAAAAGTATACTAGACTAGTTAGGTTGAAGAAGCACAGAGGCTCATCCTCAGAACATGTAAATATGATGATGTTATCTAGAGCAGTCCTTAGTTATTGTGGAGGCCCTATTAAATATGATTGAGGAGATAATTCTGCATGCAACCCATTTTAAAACAAATTTGAATGGCATGAAAAAAATAAAAGACAAGTTTTGAAAGTCCTGAATATTTTAATCATAAAAATTTAATTATCTTAATCTTTTATTAGGATATTTTAGTATAAAATTTAATTTTATGGTCTTTAGTAAGCCTAGATTATAATTTTTTTGTAGAATCTCGGATGCACATAAATAAACAATAAAAAAACAATCCAGGCATGCAAGACCCACAAAAAGAAAGCACTCCAAAAAATATATAAAAAAATTTCATATGTCGCTAGTTTGGCAACATATTCCAGGAAAGCAGGAAAAGCGGTTGGATTTCACATATACATGTCAGGTCCTAAATGTATACACGAATGTAAAATTCAGATTTAAGGTACGGGACACGAGCTGCCGCTCCTGACTCCCGTCACGTGGATAGATGAGTCATCCACCTCAAAACTCGTGCTCATGCCTTATTTCTGATATAAACTCGGCATAAGAACTTTATCAAATATATATGAAAAAGAAGATAAAAGACTAGACTTGCAGAAAACAAGTGTTGGCGGGGAAAGTCATACAATGTAAAATAAGTCGTGTCTTATAATTGAGGGAGCTATCTACAAGCAAAGGATTAGAAATCATTACAAGATCCACCTTATTACAAGATCCACCTTTTATTGTACCTGTGTGTGTGCATGTGTATAGGCACAACACCTTGCAGAAGAACACCCAACTATACTACCATGCACAACAAGCATGCGGGGCCCAGGGAGGGTGTATTGTGGAGGTAGTGACCCAACAATGAGCGTGTCATGGAGGCAAGGGCCCGAGAAAAGTATGTGCGTGGAGGCAGGGACCTAAAGATGGGCGTGTCGTGGAGGCAGGGATTTGACAATTAGGTATGTCGCTGAGGCAATGACCCAAATAGGTACAACACAAGCAAATGATATTGATCACGCAAGCTAATACATAGAAGATGCAATGCATCATACAAGCAGGCAAGCACACACATGTACATGCAAAAAGCATGCACCATGCAAGAGGTGGGTCGATCAGGTCTAGAGAAC